TGTTTGCGAACAACAAGGGAACAGATAAGTAAGAAAAATACGTACAACAACTAAAAATATGGACAAAAAATTATTTTTCAATTTTTGTTTAATGAAAATCAATTTGCTGGCTTCACATTGCTCGATCTTTTTTCTTGTGAAATTACCCGAGANGCTTTATAGCTCGTCCGCGGTCGTCAGCGGCTACATAGATCAATCTTCAAGTATCCGAAATCAAGTGCCGTTTGACAATCTCGCAGTGAGGAATTCCTGGTACTTTTGTTCTCTGTTCTAGAGTTCCTTTTTATCTATCAAAACTATGCCGTAAGCGTGAAGGGTGGTCTCCAGCGCTTTATATCCCAGTTTTTTTTTTGACAGAAACATTCGAAGTTAGTCACACTTCCAATTACTTCTCCCCAAGGACCCTACCAAAAGAGCTTCCCTGACGGCTTCCGTTACCACCGAAGCGGCGGTTACACTGAGGCCAACGATGTCCAGGGAAATTCAGGAGAGTAGAGCCCTGAAGCCCCCCACCCCTGTGGTCGCACCAACCATGGAGACAAAGATGCAATTTCGTAAGGTGCATATGCCAACAGCCGCTATATGGTAGCTAAATAAAGTACATGTAAAATAATACCTAAAAGTATAAGTGAAAAAAAAAGTTTGGAAAATTTGTTTTAAAATCTATCTCCATCTAAGGATCTGCTGCACTGCACCCTTCCTACCGGTTTACTCCTTCCCCTAACATAGTTAACAGCGGTCGGCTGAAAGAGGGAAGGGGAATCCGGCTAAGACAGTCATCATTGCGTAAATTAACGCTTCCCCATCAAAAAAAGAACAAGAAGATAAGTAAACAAATAAACAATTACGAGAACAGACTGAAATTGAGAAGGGAGATTTGATAGACTCTAGATCTGCCTTTAGATTTCTGCCTTTCACTCATTTGTTGGTCCATTCGCTCTGACTTATCTAGCCCTCATTTTCCTCCCCCTTTGTGCTTCCATATCATGACAGGTTACCGAACTATCTTGGAAACTCTGAACCTCTTGTAGTCGTTTCCCTGAGAGCTATACCGCTGAGTTTTTTGGTACCTAAAAACTTTCTACCCCTGATTATCTGAACATCTAGCTCGTTCGTTGACTTTCATACGGCTACTATGTAGTACGAAATGGATTCCAGAAGTTCAATGTTAAAAGTGTTGCTAGTCTTCTGTATGGGAATAACTGCAGAATGCTCGAGAGGTTTGTGATTTACTAGGATTCAACGTTCGGGAAGAGAAAAAAGTAAGAGAGAGAGAGGAAAAACTAGAAAGAAAGCAAAAAAGAACAGTATGACTATTATGGAAGTTAATCAATGGTGTGAGAGGCTTTTGAGTTTCGATTGAGTTTAGAGAAGTTGCATAAGTAATTTCAGAAGTGTGGGCAGGAGATCATGAACGTCGATTATATGCGAAGTTAGCCGATGGTTACAATAAACTAGCTCGTCCGGTGAAAAACGATAGTGAGCCAGTGCTCGTACTACTTGGTCTCGACTTTCAACAAATACTCGATGTGGTCAGTTATGCTCTTCGAAATATTTAAAGATAAATTTATCGTTCACTAAAGTTGCTCGAAAAAATAGTTTTTGAAAAATGCTAGTCAATAAAATCGTAAGTCTCCTGATTCGAACAAAAAAAATAACGTTGGAAATATAAGAGAAACCCATGGCTCCATAGAATTCATACCGCCTTCTCACCTATGATGTCCCCACATCACCCTGGGATTGAAAAATCTTTCCATCCGGGCAGGTCCAACCTCAAAGAGGTTGTTTCCGCCTTTTCTCTTAAAAACCTCTTCTGATAAGCAGAAGATAAATAGATAATCAGTGTTTGTGGGAATAGCCCCAAGCCCTTTTCAATCTCCAAATAGATAAATAGGAAGGAAAAAAGTGGTTTAGCAATGCTCTACATAAATCATTATAAATCGATAGAGATAGGTGAACTCGTACATGCACGAAACTGATTGAGAATTTAAGAAAAATCAATGAAAAAAGTCATGGAAATATAAATATTCGTATAAAATTATTGAGTAACTAGGTCACTTCGAATTTTCAATATTACTGCCAACATGTTCACACATTTCTTTCTGATAATCATACTTTTAGGATGAAAAGCACCAAATCATGCACTCAAATGTGTGGCTACGTATGGTGAGCACATTTTTCATTAAATTTATCTTCTTTTGCATATTTTTTCGGAAAAATCGCTTATCGGATGTAGTTCAACGGTCTGCTACTCAAACCACGTACGGTATCTACTCCTTGACTATCTCAAATGTTAGATACCATTGCTAGGGTAATAACCAACCAGTAATGACAAGATTGATTGACCAGATTGAAAGTACTGCCGTTTTACACCATATCTACATATTCGGATCTCGAGTACTTCTGGATCTCAAAGGGTTTTCCGGAAACCATTCCGGAACGCTTTTTTTCTTCCCGGAAGTTCCACCTAGTGGTTCTCCTCAAAGGTTCAAGATTATTGGCCAACTGATTGTTGTTTGGCCATTGGTTTACAAATCACTCATTCTGAAGAAAGCTCATTCTCCCACAAAGTCGTAACTTATGCTCTTGAGTGGGAAAAAGCCTATTTGCTTGAGTTCGGCACGAAACGTCATGCTGGGTTAAACAAAGAACCAGGTAGAAGGAACTTTAAAACGGACCAGACCATTCGATCTTATGCCAAAAAACAAACAAGCCAACCTGGGGCTTTGTTAGAATAGTCTATTACATAATTCTATTATCACTGCTCACATGAATTTAAAAAAATTTCGTTCCTAGCAGTTCCTAATAATAGCTGAGGATGTCTTTTGAATAGAAATTGGAAAGGGGATAATACTACACGCAAGGAGAGAAAGCCGAACCCCATCTGAACACTGTTCCAGGGATCCAAGCCTGAAATCCCTCCGAAACGTACTCAATCTTTAGGTACGATCGGCAGTATAGCAAAAAGGAACTGTCAGAGGCTGGTTGTGCCGTTCAGGCTAACTGCAAATGCATCCCAACAACTGCACGATTTCAGACGAAATTGAGCGCATGGCTCATCCCTCCACGGGATTTATTGTCGTCAAACGAACAGTTTTTGCTCCCACTACTTTTTACAAACCAATTTGAATATACCCTGGGTTGTAATCGCAGATATTTACGCTGCTTATTGACACCCTTCCACTCATGGGCATCCCTACTCCCATGGGATCAGTTCAGCGGCGATAAAAAGAAAAGACATTGACATATGAGGTCCTGATTGGACAGCATTTTTGGCGAACGCTGTTTTGCGTGTTTGCGAATAACAAGGGAACAGATAAGTAAGAAAAACACGTATAACAAATAAAAATAGGTACAAAAAAAATTATTTTTCCAGTTTTTTCCAAGAGAATCGAACTGCTGGTTTCTTATTGCTCAATCTATTTCCTTGAAATACCTCGGGTATGAGGCTTCCATTCAGCTTTCTGGAGACAAAGAGATCTTTGTTAATATCCTACCAACAATTATCAGAAGCCAGCAAAGTACATCTCATGATTTAATTCACCCATATATGATCTGAACATAATGCACTTCCCACAAAATCTCCCTTAATGGCCTTGAGATGATTTTTATTAGTCCTATATTTAATGCCATGAGTTCATAGAACTTAGTATACATAAGTAGTCTTTTGAACCCACCAATAAATCAACAGGTACGAATATCGAAAAAAAAAACCTTTTTGCAGAGTTGGGTTGACCACTATCTTACGTGGGATCCCTCGGAGTATGGTAATATCAAAGAAGTTCGTCTACCGATATCGAACATTTGGAAGCCGGATGTGTTACTGTACAACAGTGTCGACCAACAGTTTGACAGTACATGGCCAGTGAACGCGGTTGTTTATCAGTAAGTTACCTACACCTCTAAAAGGAAGCTCAGCCAAATGGCCAGGAGCTTCTTCGGGACGGATTTCATTTTGAAAGTTTTTGAAAAAAGGTTGTTGAAAATAGTATTTTGTAGATAGGAAAGTACTGATTTTACTATGGCCTAGTAACAAAGCAATAATACATATAGTTACCTATTTTAGTTCTGGCAACGTTACATGGATTCCACCAGCAGTGATTCGTTCGAGTTGCAGTATCGACATTGCCTATTTCCCGTTTGACTCCCAAGTATGTGCTCTGGCTTGTCAATAAGTGATGCAATGGAATAGACAACACTGGTCGTCTACTCTACTGTAATCCTCCAACTGAAAGAATGCGTGTCCTTTCCCAGATTGCCACCCCGAACATCAGACACCACTCGCTTTCCCAGGAAACCATAATATGGCTCCTCTTCCAAGTTTCCAGCAAGACCAAAACTCAAAGCAGCAGAATTTTTCACTGCGTGCACAAACTCATTTGAGACCTGAACTTAGGACAAGGTCTTTCTCTTTCTATCAACCCCACATCTGCAATGCGCCGCGCATGTGACTTCAATTCAGGATTGTAGTAGGGTATTGAATGCGCACTTGATTTATGCATTGACTTAAACTGTAAACTGGCCAACCGATGTAAAGTCAAACATTTACACTCCCAGATGCGTCTTACACTATTTCATCGATCCGGAAGGATGAAGACTCGACTGGGTCCGGGTGGGTATCGATCCAGAATTGTATCTCTATACCGTAAGTGGAATAGTAGAGCTGAGACGAGGTAATTGGCTATCGCTTCCAATTCGCCAGCCAGTCCAGAAATCATTCTCAACTTGACTGGTACAGGTGGCCCCTGAGAGAGGTAAGGGCCACTTAGCTCGGTTGAAGTCGAACTTCCTGGACATCGAAGTCACTTGCTATCGCTCTCTGACTGAAGACACTTTTTTCTCGTGAAATCGAAAAATATCCATTTAGTAGTAACATTATTGTTGCTTTTGAACTTTGCTTCTTAGCCGAACTGGGCAGCATAATCAAAGCCTTTCTTTTCAGCATTGCTCGATGAAATTCGGCTCATGGACATATTCGGGTTTCTTCACAGATTTGCGCAACGCCTCCGTTTCCGTTGGCACCTATCAGCCCAATGGTGAATGGGAAATGCTAGGTGAGCTTAAGCTCTCATCTAAGAGGTTTTTTCATGAGTCGCTAAGCATACTCACTTTGGATAGTGCCACGAGCATTCTCAACGCAGCACTAACAGAAATAGTTATTCGACAACATATCCGACGGATAATGAATCTGGCGGCTCGAAAAGCATATCAAGCAAACTGCAGTCCTAATGATACAAAACTACAGTATGCATTCCAGATCTCACATCGAAAAGGTCAATTTTCTACTACGAGTGTTGCCCTGAACCCTACTACGACATAACCTTCACTATTTCAATAAGGAGAAGAACACTTTATTATGGGTGAGTCTTTCAAGAGAATAACAAAAAACATAAATATCATACAATTTCTCCGTAACGAAAGAATTACTTTGACAGCTACCCAAGATTCTCAGTCACCAATTCGACTGTGGCCTGGGGCCAAGTCCCTGGGAGTTTCATGAGAACCACTTTCGAGGATGCAGCCCCCCACTCCCCCCACCTCCCCCAAAATCAGTTACTTTAAACTATAATGTATATGCCTTTAGATGAGCGAGTAGGTGAGGAGCCAAGATTGACCCTTTTGAAATGGGTCTCAACGCTCCAGCTGATGGTTGCACAAAGGCTTGAGAACGAAGCTTACATTAATGGAGTCATACTAACTTAGGAAGTACTTCAGAGGTTTACACTTACTGTTTGAAACTGAACCATTATGTCCATGCCTTACTGTGACTCGTGCATAGAGGCTGCTCAGAACCATAAGCCTCGCTTATAATCTGGAATCGGACCGCAAAGCAGATTGATACTATTACACTATAAAATACCTACTTGGTCAGTTAAAATACCTTCCTGATCAGTGCTGAACACATCTTCAAAATCCATTAACATTTGTCACATCAATATTACAAATATATATTACAAATATATTTCGGCTGTCAAAAGGATAATATGTTCTTATGATTTGTCTGTAGGTTCAACCTGGTTCTGCCGAGTATGCTGATCTCGGCTCTGGCCCTGCTTGGCTTTACATTACCGGCTGATTCTGGTGAAAAGCTCAATCTGTGTAAGTTCATACAGCTACATACCATTTTCAGTAGCCTTTCTCGTTACCATGGGACGGTTACACCTCTTACTCAACATAGTGCTTCCTACTTCTTTAATGTACCATATTTTCTAAGTTCCTGAATGAACCTTCCGGTCCAGGAGCGATCTGTTCCCCTTTCCAGTACTCGAATAAAGGGCTTTTCTCTACAGTAATCGCCTTCACCTGCTTATTTAACTCTCAATTCTTTTAGGTGTGACGATTTTCATGTCACTTTGCGTATTCATGCTAATGGTAGCCGAAGCGATGCCACAAACTAGCGACGCCCTACCATTGATAGGTATGCTTTTTCACTCGGTTGAGGATCGCAGGATTTGACCCATGGAAATACAGTAGCTCTCCCTTACTCTAGATCAGCCAATGGAGACAAGTTTTTTGGAAATCACTTGGTTTCTAAGGTTCTGAATGGTAACATCATTGAGTTGTGCAGCAGCTGCTTCTTTTACTTGCACATTCACCGATATGACGAAGGACCAAGCAAGAGACAGTAAAAAAAGGAAGTAAGAAGGGATCAAGGGTCCCTGGTGAATTTCCTTTTGTCAAACTTTTATAATTCCCATAAATTAACATCACGATTCATCATTTCTGGTATAGAAATGAGAGCTTCCATAAAAACAGCTCCGACACCAAACCACGAATTGAGCCAGTTGAGATCAGTCGAGCTCTCCTTTTTCTCTGAGTTTGTTTCTCGGTACTCCACTTGTGTAGGATGACAAAAACTTAGACCGAACATTGGCTCAACTGGTAAACTGTTGTAGGAGTTGATTACACCTATCGTTGACGGTTTCCTTACAGAAGTATACTTCTCCTGCATCATGTTCGAAGTTGGTGCCTCCGTGGTGTGTACTGTGTTCGCACTGAACTTCCACCATCGCACACCAGAGAGCTATCACCCCATGACGCCTTTCGTGAGTTTCTCTGACCTTAAACGGTACGATCTCCTTCACTGATGATTTCGTGTGTTCAGACAAGGAAGATTCTCCTCGAATGGCTACCGATGTTGCTTTTTATGGACCGTCCGCCACCATTTCGAATGGAGCAAATTAGCGAGTGTAATGGTCACGTTATAGGCGAAAAACATAAGGATAAGAGGTATACGATTTACGCCCTCGTTCCCTTTCAGGTAGATGGTACATATTGACACCAAGTCTGTGCGATGGCTTCAAATTGGAGTTGCATGACTGGGGATTCATACGAGCAGTCGAAGAATTACCGGCTCGGATGACTGCTCTGGTGCTGGCTGGCTCTTACAACCGATCCTACTACGACCCCCCTATACCCTCCCCTCTCCACACACCCTCTCCCCCTTCCTCTCTCCCCCTTTTTTATTTCGCAAAACCTAGCATAATGCTTTTTCTTCCTTGCACGCCGTCTCCATTTCACTGAGCGATAAACACCTTCCATGTGTAAAAAAAGCGTTCCATTTAAGGAAAATGAAGGGATACGTTGTGGATCTCCAGAAAACACTACTCGACAACTGCTATCCGCCAGTAGACAATAAATCCAAAGCGGTGCATCTCGACTTTTGTCATGGTTAGTCGAACTTTTCTCGAATATCGTGAGCAAATATAAGATCGTGTTATTTTAGGGGGTCGAATAGAGGTTCGTCGTAAACCAGTAAGTGCTGAGCGGAACTCTTATCCGCTCTCAATGACAAGCAACAATGGCAGTTCACCAGCACTTGCTCAAAAGTATACATTCTCATCAAAACTTCATGTAAGTGCCTACAAATTTCATTTCCAGTGGGACGACCTTAAAGCGCAAAAGAAAAGGCGTTCGGTCGCATCCACCCAGGTGCTATTAAAAGATCCCAGAAAAAAAAATTGCAATGAAAGAAGCGCATGAAAAAAGAAGGGGGAGCTGAAGGAGAAGCTGCTGAAAGCAGAGGTTTCTGATGAAAGTAGAACTTCTGGAAAGTGCTAAATGACGACATCCATTCTGAGTCGTTACGATTCCTGGACGCTTATTTTTCGTCCATCCAGTAGAGGGCTCCGATGTTTACGGTAACCATAAGAAAAGCAAAGAACAAAAGGAAAAGAGGGTAGTTCTGATATAACGTTCACGGAGAGATGCGGACCCAATATCCTAGAGCTATTTTTTCCCTGTTAGACGGTAGGTGCTCATCGCTGCCGTGGTATGTACTCCTATCAAATCTCTTAAGCTTATGGGCATTTCGTCCGACGACTGTCGTATAAAGCCTATTTGTGTTGTCTTATATGGGGGAATCTGGATTTGATCTTTGAAGCATTTGCGTGCGGTAGGGTCTGGCTATCCACCTCGAATGTATCACAGAATCGCTCATCTAATGCCAGGGTAATAATAAATGTATTCTATGAACACAACATCTACACTAACTTCTTAGGCAGACAAGGAATAGCCACAAAAATTTTCATGGCATACCTGTAACAAAAATTTAATTTTTCAGAATCCTCCAGACCCCATTGATCGAAAGTCACCCTTACCAGTCACCACACGTAATCTTATGGATGAACGTCAGTATGCGGGGATAATGGAGGAGTTGAAAGTGATCTCAAACAGAATTAAAAAAGAGGTAACTTGTCGAAGTTTCTGTAGATCGTCATAGATAATTGAATCCTATGAACAAGTCGATAAATTGAAATTAAAAAACAAAAACTTAAGAATTAGGAAATCGTTGTAGTCAATAAAAGGATGAACCAAGAAACCAACAAGGCATACCGCTTAATAACGGCTATTTCGGACGGCACCTGCCCTATGGGGCCACGGAGGCAATTTTATACGTAAAACTAGGAAACCCGAAGCGAGAAAGGGGAAGGGAGAAAGCATTCTATGTTTTTGCGATATTTCAAAAGAACTGCCGTTATTCAGGAAATAATGCACTCGGAACGAGCCGACTGGATGTTTGCAGCGATGGTGATCGACCGTGTATGCTTCGTGACGTTTTCATTCTTTCTGATACTCTGTACACTTGTTCTCTCCTATAGAGCACCGCATATCTTTGCCTGATCAACGAGGTGTATGCATACCACGTGGGCCTTGTCCAACTAGAAGCACGAGCTTCGAACTTGATATTCACGGGTCAAAAACCTTATTCCATTACGTTCAGGTATCCTCTGAACTTGATATCAATTACTAATCATGGACTGAGTGAATGCCTTCCATTCTGTAGGGACTTCAATGGCTGTTCAACAGGGCTGACTCGTCTGTAGCCTGCAATAAGGCAGCTACTCGATTGATTACGAAAGCAAACTATAAAGAATCGAATTATGAAGTCTATCGAGGCGTATTCTTACCGGCAGGGCCACTCTGTGAACCTCCACGTGGAAGCACAACGTGGACACTCTATGGTTACCACTCGCGTTCGCCAAGTATAAAAGCAGCTTTTACAAGCTTTGATGGCACTACTACTTTACGAAACGCTAGCTCCGTTAAAAGATCGCTATTTTTCACCCCTTCCACTCCCCCTTCTTGAAGGTAGGCCTTACCGCTGCGTGACGTCGGACGCCTCTTCGGTACATTGTCAACACAGAATGGGAGGCATGCATATTTCGCAGTCTTGAATATCCCAAAAAAAAGTTCTAGCCGTTTTTCAATGGAATCTTACAATGCAAAGCCAGGAAAAATTAGAAAAATAGACATTACATATGTAGAAAAATCTCCCCGAAGATTTATTCAGAGCATTGTTCTTGTGAGCTTTTTTCCACTGAGTCTTTCAGTAACTTTGATTCCTCTTTACCACATTCTCCCACCGATCATATGACATCGTACAGATCTCTTTATACATAGGGCTGGAATAAAATTGTATTTTTGGTTCTTTTTTTTGTATCGCTGTCTTCGACATTAGGATTGGGTCTGTGGTCTGCCTTGACTTTGCTGCGAAATCGTCAGGCTAAAGGTGTTTACTAACTCAATAAAGGCCAGGACCGGGACCAGGTGGACCAGGTGACTGCCAGCCAGTGGGACACACACTTAGACAACAGACAGTACCTATGTATACAAGCTGCACCAACAGCTTCGCCTTACTCCTGTTTCAATGGTTCTTTTTCGATTCTGAATAAAAAAGAAAAGTGACATATAAAATTACCTCAATCAGTCGAAAGCCTCGATGGCGATTTGGCGGGCAAGAACCAGGATGACCCTATTGATTCCTACTCTGACAATTCTGATCCTCTAGGCCTTTGTGGCGGAACAGTTGATTCTACACGTTCTCCGCGGATAAAATCACTTACCTAAATATCAGCTGATCATTAGAAAACGGTAGAGTCGCTCACAATTGAAATTTAAGCACCTTACAATCTGTGGAAGCCGACTTCGTGGCACATTCCAAAGCCATATGGCAACAGCTGGAAAATGTGGGAGTACCATTGTGATGTATTGTCGAAATACATGAATTCCGCATCACAACATACTCTCTACTCTGTAGGGACAGTAATTTGACCGTCACTAGTGACATTAATGACAATCAACTCAATCTGTCCCATAGTGATTCGAACTGAGTACCCCTTACGTCATACTCCGCAGCATTGCCACTGCGCCATCTATTCGACACTGCCGCCTGTCACTACACGTGCAGGAATGTTGCTGTTAACCGTGCAGGAATTTAAAAACCTACCAACTAGAATAATTATAATTTATTCAAAACGAAAAAGCACTTCCCGATACCAAATGAACTATCACAGACATATAATGAATTACATTCCCAGAACAAATACCTGTGGTCAGAAAATTCTCAATAAATAAAGCACATCTCATATCAAAAATCAAAAAACCAAATCAAAAATTCAAGACAATAATTTATAGAGACTGAGATTAATGGCGATAGAGCAGGAAGTTGCTAATATATACCTTCACCATTACTAAACAATATCTTCCCGACACATCATTCCTTATTTAGTAACAAGTATACATGTTGTACTGTAGGTACTGCCGCAATACTCCTTCCTTCCTCATCGTATGCTCTCGTAGCAAATGCCAGCGCTCTTGCAAACGTGTCTGCAATTCGTTTCCGTACAGGCGATAGAAGAATTGCCTCAGTCTCAGCAACTCCGATGTACAACGAGTACGTGGCACATAGCTGAAAATTAAAGGGTGTGAGGAAGATCCTTTTACCATTTCTCTCGTTCGAAATAGGAAATTTCTAAAGTGTTAGTAATGATAGTAAAGAAGAATAACGTTCTAAAAACCCCAAAAATCAAAGAGGCCTATATCTGAAGCATCTGATGAAACTTCATTCGATCTGCTTCAGAAGAAGAGCTCTCCAGATTGAAAAGTAGCACACGGACTGAGACAGGTGCAGTAGAGCTGTCAGGTGTAAGAAGTTGAGAGGAAACCGCTTAGGAACCTCCCTATTGCAAGATCCAAAGACTTAAAAAAACAAACTTCAAGTAAATATGCTAATTTGCCTTTTTAAAAACGAAGGTATGGAAGCATGATGCTTTGTTTCGAAGCAACTATACCATAAATCAGAGTTATTTCAAGAAAAATTAGGTGAGTTATACTGCATTTTCCATTGAACTACTATGACAGTTAAAAGAAGTCTACGCATCTGGTTAAACTTGCATTTCTATTAACCAGATTCTTGACGCACCACCTCGTCCTCCCCCGCAATTTTCAGCTTCAAGGACTTTTTTGCTCGTAAATAATATGCCAATAGGAAGTACTCCAATATTCAAATATAGGAATTGAACTATTACCTCGGGCCAAGCATGCGAAAGGGCTTTTACAGCAACTTTCGATAGATCGTTAAGCTTTGAAGGCGCTAGATCCGGATGTTTCTTGAGATCGAAATCAGGTTTCAACAGCTGAAGATATATGTGTAGATGACTACAAAATATGGGAGAGGGAACGATGCTTACTTCGTCTTCTGCGAAATCCACCCATTTCAACAACGGCCCAACGATGAATTCCGCACTAGTGCTGATCAACTGATTGCATCGAGTTCGTAGCTGTGAGTCGATCACACGGCGTGTATCACAACTTTGTTCAGAAACATGGATAGGCACCTGAAGAATGCAGCAGTAATCCCAAACAGAAAAAGAAATAACACTGAACACATGCAAGAGCGGGTTAAAGATAGCCAGATAGCTAAAGCAGAATCTCGCTACTGAAATGTTAGAACATTCCCACAAGCAAAACTTACAGGGTGATTTCCTTTTAAAAGTACTTTATGAGCCGGTGGCGACTAAACATTTGCATACTCTTTAAACTGAAATCACCCCAGAAGAAAAACCTCTTCCACACTAAAGAGAGACCAACAAAATTGTAATCAAACTAGCCGAAAACAGCAATTCCAAAAAGGCGTTGTTTGAGCTCAATTCGAACCATCGGCTTTTATCATCAAAGAATGAGCTCTTCATTCGAGCAAAATCTATAGAGCAATCGAGAGTAGGTAGTGTTGCATCAGCTCTGAAACGGGTACTTATTGAGTGATCAGAAAATCCTTCGAAAAAATGAAGACAACGATCAGTAATAATGAACTTACCTATGCGCTGCCTGCCTATAGGGAGCAGTCTGTTCTCTTAAAATAAGCAAATGCTTGACTAAGAACAACTCGGCATCCAACTTCTTAGTATGACCAGCCTGGAATAAAGCCTTCTTGATGAAATGGCGAACATCAATGCAGCACCAACAGCAATGAGTAACAACAACGATGTAACTAGCTCAATGCAGGTAAGTACGTGGCTGCTCAATTATATCAGAGAAGTATCACAGATATATGGTCCGGAGATCAATCTCGGCTCGGTACTCGCCTGGGTCAACCAAGTTTTCCCTTTCCTCGGAGTCTACTTGTCATGGAGATTAAAAGCGAAAATTCAAGCATAAGGTGGTCACTGCTAATAATTGTATAGTCACATACTTGCCAAAACGTCAATGGGATTCCGAATAGAAGCCAAATGAGGGACGCATCCCAAAACAGGGTTGATCAGCGTCGAACAACTTATCTTCAATGTTTAAAGGTCAATAATTAACATTACTGATATATATATATATATATGAATAAAAGAAGCCCAGTCACTCATTGCCGCAACGCAGTTCACACAGAAGACCGAATAGTAAAACGCCCCTCAATTGGCGAAGAATAAGCTAGTGAAATAGAGCTCA